GTGGTAAAAAAAGGAAATTACTCCTAACATGTGCCACAAGAACATTGTGACACAGTGATTTCTTGTTTCCGACTGTAAACAAAGTAGGATAAGTCTCCAACCTTTATCTTGATGTATTTGACTCTGCAGCTGAGAGGACAGGAGGACAGGTTTCTGAACTGCTTTGACACTGATAGGCATCTTACTCTATGTAATCTTAAGCTGCAACTTGAATTTAAATCAACAATCCTACAGTACAAATTCATTAATTTAATCAAATCACTTCTGGAAATAGAGTAGTGAGAGGATCAGAGTATGTTGGATCACCTTTAGTTGCATAGGATCTCACATGAGAGTTTATGATCCTGTTTATTGGATTGTATTAGATAAAATTCAGACAGTAGATCTTAAGGTTTCACTCCGTCACACTGATCCTAGTATCCTACTAATTTGTCAGCTGTATGAAATTCCCATATTGTATTTTGTTATCTTGTATTGGCTGTGCAACAAATTCCAAGAGCAACAGGTGCAAATAAACCGTATAATATAATAATTAACCATGTATATTTGCTTGGATCTTGAAGTCCTACTATGATCCATCATGGGATCCTAAAATGATCCTATCTAGGATCTCCATTCTAGAAACATCTCATGGTGCATTTGTTGGTTTGCTTACTTAGCTTCCTGATTGTTGTGGTTGTTTGTGAGCATAATATAATCAAGTCAACCATTTTATTAGCTGAAGATAATTAGATTACTAGATTTTTTTGTCCACACAATACTGGCGTTCCTTGTCTCTTTCACTGATCTGTCAAGCTACAACCATACTATAGATTCGTGAAGGACTGCACTACAATCCTTACTTCCCTGGTGGAGCTATTGCAATGCCAAAAATGCTTAATGATGGTGCTGTTGAGTATGAAGATGGTGTCCCTGCAACAGAAGCTCAGGTTGGTCCCTTTGTCACTTGATTGGAGGGTGTCTGCATGTAGTTTCATAGAGATGATCTACACTACTATGTTTCAGTATAAATAAGCTAATTTTTCCTTGTATCGTTGTGTAGATGGGGAAAGATGTGGTGTCATTTTTAACTTGGGCTGCTGAACCAGAAATGGAAGAGAGAAAACTGGTCTGTTGTTTTTGGTATTTGCACAGATGATGATGTTTGTGTTATTACTATATGGTAGTTTGTGATGTATTTGCATTTCCACTGCAGATGGGCTTCAAGTGGATATTTGTACTGTCCCTTGCACTGCTTCAAGCTGCTTACTACAGGCGTTTGAGGTGGTCTGTTCTCAAGTCACGTAAGCTGGTCCTTGATGTTGTCAATTAGAACATCCCCTATTCAAATGCTTGTGGAGCAGGCAAATAATATTATCTTTCTCAAAATGTTTTTGTTGTTTGGCGTCTTACTCTTGAATGGCCTGGTTTTTGGTAAAGCAAACAGGCTAAAATTTTCTTATATTTGGAGTTCAAATAAGAAGAGGCCCGTGTAATTTTCAAGTTGTGATTTTTATAGTGGGGAGACATTCTCGCCTTGTTTTTGAAGCTGTAATCCCTGTTTGTGAGCTGTCTGTCTGACTGTTGTGAAACTTTGCTCTCCAGATTTATAGTTTTGTGACTTGACATACAATTTTATTGCACGTAAAAAGAACCTATTCCAAGGGTTACCAAAACGATTAATCAAATAAGAATATTTAGTAGTAAGTTTATTGTTTTGGGTTGGCGGATTTGCAGTTTACGTGTATTGCCATGAATAATTCTGTATAATAATCTCCGCTGCCTTTTCATTGAAATTCTGTTTAGTACGGAGTAAAAAAGTGACTTAAATGTAGATGGTGGTTTTTGACATATTCTGAAATGGCTATAGCCAATTTTTAGATTAGCTTCTTGAAAAGCAGAGGAAATTTTTGTCATCTAGTATATTCTTTCTTCACTATATGTCACTATTTCTTGTCACTCTTGAAGGAGAGGCGTTATTAAGAGGCCACAGTCAACGTACACTTGTAAGGTATAATATCACATTCGAATAGCGTTTTTTTTTTTCTTCTCTCCTAATTTTTTTTTTATGAAGAAAAAAGGTAACTAGAAGGAGACGCAACTTGTGCTTTTTGAACCAATTAGAAACCAGCCAATAGCCATGTTCCACATACTCATAACTATAAGCCCAACTTGTCTATTCCATCTAGCTTTCAACGTCGCCACGCGTCCTTTCCATTAATATCAAATTATAAAGAGAAGAATTGAATTCAATTCCTTGTATTGGGTATGGGTGAATTATTGAAGCAAATTAGTTATTTATTGGTTCACAAGATTTGATCTCATATAAAACTAGATTTCCTGTCTTTTAAGGTTCCTCGTAAACGACAAATACATAGGTGTCCACTCTCCATTCCACAATACAATTTTACAAGACAAAAACACTACTAATTTCATTTGTACTACTTTCTTCGTTTAAAAAAATAGCTTTTTTTTTTCTATTTCAAAAAAATAACCTTTTTTTTGTTTTGGTAATATTTTAGTTTTCGTTTTTCACATTGCATGTTTCGTGCTATAGGATCAAAAACCAATTTTTATATTTGATCTAATTTTAGTTTAGAATCACAAAATTTAAAAAAATTCTTTATATTTTTGAACTTCGTGTCAAGTGAAATCAGGCCATTCTTGTGAAGCAGAGGGAGTAAAATAAGTGACACAAAGCCACAATACAATTTCAAGACAAAAACACTACTAATTTTTTTTATACTAAAACAAGTAACATAGAGTTAACGTGTCGTAACAAGTAGGAACACATCCATTCAAGATAACCATAATACACCATCATATATAATCAGTAGTTTTGACTTAATTTAATGCAATACTTCACAACCAATTAATTTTTATTAATATATGCGATATAATTTTTCATCCAAGAAATATCAATGGCGGCTTCTTTTATTATTATCAATTATACTATACTTAAGTGAGAATATTGCTAGGAGTAAGGACCACATAACGGGGAGAGAAGCAATCAAGCAAATATATGACACCTGGTGTAGCAAACAATTCCCCTCATTTTATGTCTCACTTTCCAAAAGCGGTTTACAGAGACTTTTCATATCAAATGTTATACTATTTTCAAAGAAAAAATAATGAGAAAAAAAAATATATATATATATATATTATATTAAAGTTTGTGATTGTGTAGATGCACGCAGATGAAGCGTTGGATACAAAAAATTTAAATTAATATAATGTTTCAAATTAAAGGTGAAGAAAACGTTGTTTACTAAGTAATTATAATAATATTTGTTCAAGCAATTCGTCTAGAGACTTCAATATTATGCCATGTGTAATGTTGATACCTCAATGGAAGCATCTATATGAATGTGTAAGCATATAATATTACACCCAACGAGTATTGGACGCAACATATATGCATTCAAATGCCTCAAAACTCTTAAGAAAAATGAAGTTATACATAAATGATCACTTCACATATAATCATTCTCAACTCTCAAGAGACAAGAGGAAGCAACTCATGCTATACACAACCATCAACTTCAGGTAAAATTATTTTTCTTCAAAACATATAAACAAACAAATACATATATCACTTTTTTATATATAGATATAAAAAAATAAAGTAATTAACATGTTTGTTTGTATGTTATCGAGTGAGGCCAGGCAATATATATTGTAGCATGGTTGTATGTTATCGTGTTGATTGTTTAATAAAATTGTGAAATAAATCTTGGGTCTAATTAACTCAACCTCAAATATTAGTTTATGACGAGAGCACTGTCAAAATCAATAAAATCCACACTCAAGAATCTATTGTAGCTTTTTATATCAAAGTTTAGTAAGTTTGAATTATGGGAAACATGATTAGACATGTCGAACTCATGTATGTATATATATGGTCGAGTACTCTAGCAGGCTTTTTGTTTTTCCTTTTGGTTTCTAGATTTCATCAACTATTATATGTAACTTTGAATGAATTATAGTTTTCATATACCCCTCTCTAACACAATTCACCCTCAGTGTGCTTCAGGGACATGTTTCTACAAGTTAATAATTTGTACACTTCTATTAATTTTTTTAAAAAAAAAATTGAAGCAAAATTATTGGATTACTGAACTCATGATTCATATCCTAGTAGTCTGGTTTTTTAATTTTATATAGTACAAGCTAAGTAGCAATAAACTTGCTTCTTTTTTCAAGCAAACTTAAATATATAGATAAGTTGTTAATTGGTTATATTATATTAACGAGAAAAGCAAGAATATTAATAATTTTATATGTAGGAAGAACTTCACTTTCATAATTCATATGAATGCAAAGATAATTAGAGGCATCAGATTCTATGAGTGTAGTGAGTAGTAGTAGTAGGTGTAATCTCCAATCACAAATCAATTTAATTGTGATTGTTGTGTGACCTCACCTAACCTCTATTTTAATTGATTTGATTGATGGTGTGGGACCTAATTGTGATCTAAAAAACCATCCACTCGCCCAATAAACCCGTGCCTTCTCCTCACTGGTTTTATGAATCCATGAAAAAAAACATTATTTTTATAAACACAATAACTTAGCATTTGCATTTCCTATGATTTGAGTAAATTTATTTACTTGTGTACATTCCTTTATCCTTTGTTCTAAATAGTATAATATTTTTTATTTCTTAGTTTTGTTAAGTATTTTCATTATTTCTTGTCAGTAGATTGACGATGAAGAGTGGGAATATGTTATACGAAAAAAAAATAAAAACAAATGGACACGCGTCTAATTAATGGAAAAGCATTCCCACTTTGCTTCTATCAAGGCACACCTTTTTTTTTCCTCAGTGCTTCTCACTCTACGTGACCTCCTATCACTGGCGCACCAATCGCAGCTACTGGGGACCCACACATCTCATCACTGTTTAAGTTTAACCCTAGACACGTGGTGCCCTACGAACTACCCAACTATGCCTGTAACTATGATAATCTTCTCGGCATCCGGCAAAACTTCTATCTAAAAACTGCTCTACAACAGCCCGAATGGACCTTGCAAATACCTGGGCCGGGCCGGGATACACACCTACACCCAAAGATACCACCCTAATCAACCAGATGATGCTCAGGTTCCGGCCTATTGCGCCCAAGCCCGTAGATAATTCTTCTGGCCCGCCGGAAACTCATGTGGTTGCAAACAGAAGAACCAAGAGAAAGTACGTTAGAGTTAAGAAAAATAAGAATAATAAAAAAGAAAAAAGTGATGGATTGCTGGATGAGGTGGTAACTCTTCAGCTACTGCCGGAAAGTAGCGGAGGAGTTAAAACTTCGCCGGAGGACAGATCCTACCCAAAAACTATCAACTTTTTGGTGCAATTAGACCGATCTATATGGATAAATAAAAATATTTTATCGATCGGTGCACCAGATCCGTCCGTAGAGATCCGATCTCCGATGGTTGTGGAATCATGGGTGACGGTGGACGGTTTAACAAACACTACTTTTGTAGATTTATCAGCTTTAGGAAGTACGGACATGGAGAAGATGATGAATCTACAGCGTGACACGTGTCCAGGGTTCATATCGGACGGTTTAGATAGCGTGAAGTGGGTGAATCTGGCGTACCGGAGAATGATAGATCCGGAAGAGGAGGGAGGAGAAGCGACGGAGATGGTGGTGCGGTTAGTAGTGAAGGAGGATAAGCGTGCACCAGTATTATTATTATTGCCAAGTTTTGCATGCATAGTAAGAATTGTTTATACATGGAATAAAGTGAAGCAGTCAAGGACAATGCCTTGTGATGTATGGAAGATGGACTGTGGGGGATTTGCATGGAAATTTGATGCTAAGGCTGCACTTAGCTTGGGCCGTTGAACCCTTGTATCGCTATAGTAACTCAATCAATCTAATAGGAGAGGGAGGAATACATCAGGTAATGTTAATTTTATATATTAAAACCCTAAGTGTGCTTTGGCTGATAACTAAATCTAGCTAGGGCAAAAATGTTTGCTGGTAATTAACAATTGTGAAATACACAACAAACTTTTATTCAGCTTTAACTTTAATACCCTACATGTTAACTCTTCTTAGAAGTTACAACTAAGAAATCAATAAGTACGTCTCAAACTTATAAGTGCTGTTTAATTCGAGGATTTCTCGTATACTAGACTTTAAAGTTCCTCCAACACTCAATTATTTTAACCTGTAATATCGCTTAATTAACTTATTCGAACACCAATAATTTATCTAATCAACATAAAATTTTCATTTTGTATCCCATTGTATCACATCATTTCCCACATTTCATTTTGATAGAATTTTTTCATTCTCTACAACACCTATTCTGAATGCCTAAATATTTTCCATAAAGGCATCCCATACCCAGACATTGAATTTGTTTTTGATATCAAATACACGTATTGACTTCCAAATAAATATCTACAATAGAAAGAAGAGTAGGCATGTACAAAATTTGAAATAAAAAAAAAAGATAAATATGTTTAGAACAATATTGTGAATTAAGCTCTCCTCTTAAGGGTCTTTGCACACTAGAGAGGAAATTTCCTACTCTATCATTCTCGAAAAGATTGAGGATTATTCTCTACATTATTATCCTCTAGTTTGTTCAAAATAATCGTCTGGCCAACTTTTTAGTCAAAGAAAAATAGACAATATTCATTGGATAGTTTGATCACATGATAAACATTGAATTATTGACTACTGAACATTCTTCATTTTTTTCTGTGTTATATTTAATTTGTTTCTCCTTTCACATATATATAGTCAGTACAGGATAGGAATTATGACTAAAGATAACTACTACTACTAAAGTAACTTAATTAGTGAAGCTAGCTAGGTAGCTAGTATTGAAATTATTGGACATGGTTGTATTAGGTTGTAATCACACTGTTATATGCTTTATTGAAACTAGAGACAATATATATATATATATATATATATCTTCATCAGGACACCTGTAACATAACCAGCCTCATAAGATGCATATAGAAAACTGTATATTATCTGTGCTGTTTTCTTCGGTTGATGTGTTTTATTATCGTTTGTGTCTTTTATAACAGTAAAGTTATTGTCCACATAAAGTAATTTCATTTCAATAAATTACCTTTACTTGTGATAGTGGGCAACGTTTTATGACATTAGTACTATTACGATGGATAAAATATTGTTTTACTTAAAAAAGACAAATACTATACTATAATTTACAATTTCATTGATATTAAGCCTCTTATCCACGGACCAGGCATGTGTGTTAAGTTACAGTACTACGTACGGGTAAAATTTGCTTTTGCTTGATAATTAAGCTTAAACAATTAATGAGATATTGTTTATTACCTAAACATCTTTATCTGAATATAGTTGCTTGTAGGAAAAAGCTCAAATTAAAGATATACTTAATCATATATTTGAGTTTGATTTCTAAATATATCAATAGTGTCTTTGTTTGAAAACACTTTACATTTAGTATCAAATATTGTGGTATATTTCAAATTTAATAGAATCGTGATTAAAAAAAACTGAAGAAAAACTAACCATTGAATATATGCGAGATGTATACCTATTAATCATGGATTATTTCACATAGGTAAAGTGATGATTCCAGATGGTTTCCTGTTTTTTTTAATTATTTAAAGTAACCTTATTTCATTTTAATTATCTAATCTGTATAAATTAAGTGTCATTAATTAGATGTGAATGGACAGTATAATTATAAGGTGATTTTTCTTTGAATGGTAGATTTATCTGGATTCTGGGTTAGTTAAAATAAGCTACAAAGTAATTAGGGCCCGTTTGGATGGGCTTAATAAAAGTAACTTTAAAAAAGTACTTTTAAAAGTGCTGAAACTTATTTTTAAAATAAGCAGTTATGCGTTTGGATAAAAGTGCTGAAGTTGTTATGTCAAACGTGAAAAGGGAAAAATGGAAGAAATAAATGTTAGGGTTATATGGGTAATTTGGAGATTATACAAAAATATTAAGCACAAAAAGATAAAAATGTGGTCAACTTAAAACAGCTTATAAGCTAAAAAAAAAGCACCCCTACCCCAGCTTTTAACTTTTGGCTTAAAATAAGTTTTTTTTAACTTAAAATAAGCTGTTTTGAGTATTACCAAACAGCTAAATAAGTCAAAAACCAACTTTTAAGTCAGTTTAACCAGCTTTTAAGCTGAGCCAAACAGGCTCTTATTAGAGTGTTTAGACCAAGTATAAGTTGGTAACCTCCATATATGATACGTAACTCGTGTACTTGTCAATTAATTACCCGCGTTTGTAAATAGGAATTCTTTTCCTTTTCTTCTATTTTCAGAAGAGGTAAATTAAGGATTATATCAAAATATTTTTTAATTATGATATTTTTAAATTTATCATGTGAAAATTATATTAAACTAAAGAGTTAGAGAAAGAGGGTTTTTTTTTGGGCAACTTTCACATATAGCAAACAAAAATTTCATATTTATATGCTATAACAAAGTTTGCATAATGCGCTCTATAGCAAACATATAACTGTATGATTCGCTATACATATACAGTTGTATAATTTGCTAGCCTAAATTGAATTAATTCGCAGCTCTCGCTATACATATACAATTGTATGATTCGCTGGCCTATTTCGCTGCAATTGTGTAATTCGCTGGCCAATTAATGCGCAATTGTATAATTCGCTGGCCTATTTCGCTGCAATATCTGTATAAAATTTGTTTTGCATACAATTGAATTGAAGTAAAATGTTTGTATATTGTATATTGTATAATTATAAGTGTATAAGAAGAAGATATATGTTTTTTTCTCTCGCTTTATATAAAAACAAAAACACAATTTATAGACTTTTGTTGTATAAGGCGAAAGAAAATTGTATTTCACTACAATTGTATAATTCGTTGGCCTTTTCGCTGCAATATTTATATAAAATTTGCCTTTTTATACAATTGAATCGAAGTAAAATATTCGTAAATTGTATAATTAAGTGTATAACATGAAAATATATGTTTTTGCATGTTTATATATAATTTTCTCTCGCTTTATACAAAACAAAAACATAATTTATACAATTCTATTGTATAAAGCGAGAGAAATGAGCAGAGGGAGAGTGGCGAGCGAGAGTTTTGGGAGAGAGACGACTGGCAAACTTTGGCAAACGTTTGCTATGGGGTACAATTAAATCAAACAGTAGCTACTCTATTTATTTTAGGTTATTAGTTTGCTGTTATATACAATTATTCCTTTTTTTTATTTATACATACTAAAAACTGATTATGTTTTCGTCTTTTTTTTTCAATTGCCTCTTTTCTTTTAAGCATCTCTTTAATTTAATTTTATTATAATATTATAAAATATTTAATAAATTTGGCATTCTTTTAATTCAAGATCATAAAATTCAATTTTTTTTCCTCCTTAAATTTATATCCAAGTTAAAAAAAAATTACTTAAATTATACCCCAAAGTTATAACAAAAAAAATCGAAAAGTATAGAATTAAATAAAAGGACATAGCTAGATTTCCATTTAGGGGTTGTTGGCTGGAGAAGAACGACGCCACGCGTCCTTCTTTTTGACCCAATTCTTTTGCTTCGCTTTTTACTTTTTTTTTTCTTTTTTGCGTATTATTCTATATTTTCATAAAGCAAACCTGCTTTAAATTGTTTTCTTTTTGTTTAAATAATCAAATGTCCTCTTTCTTAAAATGCTGCACTTCAAACATTATTAATATTCTTCAGCAATCATAGAATGCCGTTGCTGGTGATAAAATATGGATCAATTCCTTTTATTGCAAGTGTAAGATATTATAATTTACGGATAAGAACCTAAAATATCTTTAAAGTATTTAAAATGATACAAAATTATCCTTCATTCACCTATTGGCTTGAAAATGTCTTTTTCATCCACCTATTGGCTTCAAAATACCCTTGTCATCCATCTTTGGATTCAAAATTGACTACTTTTTTTAATTGTTTTAAATTAAACTCTTTAAATATTTTTTGAAATACTTGGCGTTCAACTATTGATCATAATTATAATTTATTAATATAATTTATAAACCAACTCACTACTCATTCATTACTAATTAAACCTCACCCAATTAATAATCCAATTATAATATTAAAATCGTCATAAACACTACTAAAACACGATGAAATTATAGAATCCTGAAAATGACATTCAAAATTATTCGAGTCCGAATTGAAACCCCAATTAAATTTAGGTTGAGCCGCTTATTTAGGAGGACATTTTTTTTCAAAATTGAATTAGAAATTTATGATTAAAGGTAAAGAAGTAATACATCCCAAATTATTCATGCACTTTTTTTAAATATAATTTTATAAATATTTATGATTTGTTTTAAAACCTTTAATATATTATTTTGAAAAAAATTTACCTATGAAGTAACATCACATAATTGAGACGTAAAAATAATTAAAATGAACATAGTAAGACTTTTAAGTTTATCGGTGATTCTTATTTAGCCACTTGAATATATGATAATTTACCTCAAAATTTTTTAAAAACACTCAATTGACAGCAGCTTGCATTAATAATGTGACGGATTCATTAATTTAGAGGTATTTGATTAGTAATAGAGTGAATAGTGGATTGATTTATAAATTATGCTAATAAGTTAAATTATAACAAAAAGTTGAGCGTCACGTATTTTAAAAAATATTTAAATAGTTTAAATATAAAACCGTTAAATAAGTGGTCAATTTTGAACCAAAAGGTGGATGACAAAGGTATTTTGGACCCAATAGGTGGATGGAGGGTAATTTTGTACCATTTTCAATACTTTAAGGGTATTTTAGGCCCTTTTCCGTATAATTTATAATAATGTACATGTGGGCTACATTCATAGTTCGCCATTTA